AAAGAGGAGGCTGGGATTGAGAAGCACATATTGACAATGAGGATCAGGTAAAGGCTAAAACTGAATCAATAGTTCCTCTCAGTTATCTGAGCATTCACCCTGGCCCCTGACACTTGGGATTGTTAACTGTAATGTTAACTTAATTATGTTGTCTCTAGCCTAAGCTATTCTTATGCATAACGACATCAACTGAATAACAACTGAATGCTTCTGCTAAGAATGAAATACTCATCAAATGTAAAGGAATAACCATCCCTATCAGTACCAGATTTTTGACCTGTAAATGAAGGCTGAAGACAGTTTTACTAATGAAAATTTCCAATTATTTTTTTATCCTGTTCGATAAATGGTAGCTTTGTTCATTTCTATCTCTCTTTATCCTGTTTAGAGATCTTGCTGTAGCGCTTTCTGCCGGGGTGTTCAAATAGTTTTTGCAAACCTGCCTTCCACTAGACAAACCCAATGTCATAACAGGAAGGTGAGAATAGAAAAGTACATGGCAAAGGGTAGCTTAAGTGTGCTATATCATTCTGTTTCCATATTGTTATCCCCCTTGCGATCTATGGTAGCGGACATACTAGTGGTCATGGTTGTCAAGTGTGTTATTGGGAATAGAGAGGAGGCGTCTGCTTGTCCATGGAGCCTCACAGCATCATGTGTCACTGTCAGACAAAGAATTAAAATCCATCTCACATGAGGCATTTCTTTCAAAAGAGACTAGACATACAATCTGCTGTTCATTTTATACAGTTAGGCCCAATTATGCAGTCAGTAGGGGTACTGCCTGAGCAAGAAATGCAAAAATCAAACCTGATTGTTTTGCTTTTATAATTCAGAAAAATAAAGCTCTGTTAAATTTAGCAATGGAAGTGAAGCTGTTGAGTGATTTGTGAATTTAGACGGAGAAGAAAAGATATGAAATTGTAGGTATATTTTTTTTCATGAAAATTATGCAGCAGTATGAAACAAATCTTTCATGAGTAGCGGGTATTTACTACAGGAATGAGAACACTGAAGAAAGGACCAGAGCTTCTGACAAAGGCAGAGACTGGAAGTGTAGAGTATGTGCACAAATGGTGTGGGTGTAATAAAAATGTTTTAGATTTTTTTAAAAACATTTTTTTCACATTTTTTCACAACGGTGAATGACATTTTTTCATATATTAAAAATGCTCTCCACCTACCCCCCCACCCCATACACACACACTTGCACACACAGGTGGAACATTTGTTCATCAGACGGAGAGCAAGCCGTACCTAAATTCAGAAACTGAAGCCCATCTAGCTTGGTTGGGTGCTGGTAGGGAGGCAGATCGTCTACATCCGTACGGCCTTTGTATCTTTTCTGAGCTTCATAGTTGAAAACCTATTTTTAGCATCATATGGAGACAGGAAGGATCTCCCAGAGACTTCAGTGGCACTGAGTCATGCCCATGGGATTAGTCTGAAATTCTATCTTAAGCCTCATCTCCACTGGAAGAACCATATGAAGTCCCTTCTACATTACAGGTATTACACAATAAACTGCTTAACTATGCAATTACCTGGAAATGAGCTACACATACAAACTAGCTATCACATAATAAGACCCTCCAACCAGCTATAAAGTTAGACCTTGAAAATGTACACCAACTTTAGAGCAGGTTGCTATCAAGTTTTAACTTGCATGTGTTGCAGGGTCTCCCCTGCTCCTGGGAGCTCCATCAGCTGACAGGGCTCCCAGCTGCAGGAGGGCACTATGCCGAGTGAAAAACCTGCAAGCCTTAGGGATCATGGCAGGGCCTGGGGGGTTCATTCACTCCTGAGCTTTGGGGATTGCAGCTGTCATGATCCCAAGGGTTTAGGGGTGTAGGAAATCCATAGGGCCGGAGGATTGCAGCAATGGTGATCTCCCTGCCACAGGGGTTTCCTGAACCCCTGGGATGGGAGGACCACCCATGTGGTGATCCTTCAGCCCCAGGAGTTTCCCCACATCCCTGGGGTGGGGGGATAGCTGCAGCAGAGATCCTCCAGCCCCAGGGGTACATGGGGCACCCCTGCGGGTAGGAGCTCTTCAACTGGTGTGCATGAAGCTCTCAGCCACAGGAACTTGCTTCTCGTGGGTGCAGGGCAAGCCTGGGATTGGGCTCCCCCTGCACTGGCAATCAGATGCAATGGGATCTAATGTGTGATCGCACAATCGTGCCTCCTGCCATGCACGTGCGGTATGGCAGGAGCCACAATTCTGTGACTTGCACATTAGATCCCATCACACCTTTACCTGCACCTGATATCCTCTCCTACATGGGGTAGTCCGACACCAGGCAGTTCAATAGAGAGGGACCTTGAAAAAGCACTGAAATGCCAGCCTTTCTTTACTTTATTGGGCTTATAGGCCAGGTACACATTACACTTTTACCAATATTAGTGATTGGAAACTAGTTTATAACCATAACAGATCAGAAGTTTGGCACACACAGATTAGTTTAAAAATGGCAGACCCAGTCTGAGATTTCCCCCCCCCTCCAGAAACATGAAGGTGTGTTCTGTTCACCCATCCAAACTACACCGCTTTCAGAAACCTGTGCAATTTAGATTGATTCTGCCTCAGGCTTTTTGAATGTCTGTACCTAGCCATAAAATCTAAGCCTCATGTATTTTTTCTTGTTAGGCTTGGGAGAAGTGTAGGTAGTTTGGGTTCCCCCCCCCCCTCGAAAAACTGTTTTCTGTTGATAAAACTGAAAATTAACAGTGGCCTACATTTCTGAATTTATGGCCAAATATATGCTTTAAACTGCCAAAAATTAAGGCTGAGATTTTCTGAAGAACCTAAAGGATGTATGCGCACCAAAGTCCCATTAAAATGATATTAGAACTAGGCACTTATCTTCCTTGAAGCTTATTAGTAAAGCCACCCTATATGAAGACATTGATTGTATTTTTTTTAAAACTGTTTTTTTTTTAATGTCAGTCTGCATAATAATACTTGGCAGTGTGTGTGTGTAGCTTCTGCTATCCTAATATGTATTTTTCTGCTTCTAAGTGGAACCTTAAAAAATGGAATACTTTTGCCCTTCTCTTAGCAAAAATAATCCTATTATAGCAGAAACAGGGAAAACAATCTGCCAAAATCATTACCTCTAATCAGGAGCTCATGACTCACTGGCACTTCATTGACAGTTTATGTATGAGACTCTTGGAACCATGCAAAAATTTGCAGGTGAGTGCAAGATGAGCAAGGACTTCTCCAATGCGATTTGCACCATATCAAATCCCTAGATGTACTGGGTAATCCTTTAATGGGAAATACTAGACCAGTTCTTAGTGGTGTTGCCTAAAAATGCCAATAGTGTGCAGCTGAGCTACCCAGGTGTTTGCTCTGAGTGCATCATTAATGTCGTGGCGGCATAATCAGTGACTGAAGAATCTTGCTAAATACAGGAAGTTGTAAGCACTTCACTCCCCTGAAAATGAATTTGGAAAACTTCCCAGGTTATATATTGCAGATGACTGAGCTCGTGTGGCAATAATTAACAAATTGCCCGAATGCAAAAGAACTCTACATCTAAAAATGTTTGTAGTGTTTTGTCAAATAAAGGGAACAACATATACACAACTGATCTCTATTGAATGCCAAGCACCTCATACCCGGTAGCTTGTGGGACAGCGATCTCTTTTGGATTACTTGCTGTTCAAGGAGGACAATAATTCTTATAACACGATGCTTTTTCTTTATTCTTTACTCTGATGGCTATCCCCCGCTCCCCCCAACCTGTGGAAATGTCACACTCAATGTTAAAATAATACATCACTTGCTATGAGAGTTTTGTTTGGAAAACCCAAGTTTTCCCAGTAATTTCTTTTTCTAACCTGGTTTCTGTGTGCTCGTTGTTTTTCTTGAGATTCAAATATGCAATTTCCAGGTAATTTAGAGGGAGAGAGGCTTGCTTGGTGAGGACATACATCATTAGCTAACCCAAATGTGTTTTTAATAAGGCTTCAGTTAAGGTTTCATGTTAAACCACTTCACTGATGTCACCTGGGATAGCAGAGTGTAATATAATATGAATAGGGCTTTTGTAAGCACAGTATCCATGGAAAAACATTTCAGCTGTTGTGTTATGCCTAACTCGGGACAACTATTTTTCCCCACGTTGTACCTTTGCAGATCTACTTGTCTGATAAGCTTTCACATCCGGCTGCTTCATTTCTTTCCATCTTACCTACATCTTCACTACCTTGCTCTTGACCCCATCCATCTGTAGCTAGAAAATATCTCCAAATTCACATAAAATGATTTCCTTCAGTGCCCCTGTTTCTTCAGGCACACTCTGAACCTCCTCCTACATAAGATGCATTAAATTCTTTCTGACATCAGCGTTACCTCTTGATTAAATTACAGCCTTGAATTCAATTGGGTGTCATGTAGTCTTTGGTAGATATAAAACAATATTAGTTTTATAAAGCTGCCTTCTGTTTCACTTTACTTTCCACTGAGTGTTTTACTTCTCATAAAAGAAAGACATTTCCTTTAGTGCAAGTTGTTCTGCAAAATGTTTATGCTCATGAAGTTAAAAGAAAACAACTTGACACACAATGCTCTATTACTGCAGCATGCATATCCATTTTTTCCTGCACATTATCTTTAAGCTTAACCCAATGACAAGTCTCTTTCATAATTGGGCATGAAGTATATGCCCATAGAAGCTTTGTTCCTCACCCTTTGTAAATGTACGGATTATAGTTGTCATCCTTTAAACACTTACTGCTGAACACAGTGGTTATCAGGACCAAGTGTTATTGGCTTTTTAATTTTCTGATAGTGTAAGAGCCAAATTCGCCCATTGTTACTCACACCAATGGAATTACTAAACATTAATCTGGCCCATTTTATGTGCAAATTATTCAGTTCTTTGCAATCAAAACTCATCTGTAGTTATTTAGGTCTGAAATGAATGTAAGAATTTTTGGGGAAAAAATGTTCTTCTGTGTGATAGACCATTTTTATTACTCGTTTTTAGGTAACATTCAAAGCATCAAGATACTCAGTTTCACCAGACTTAAAATATGTTCTTCTCGCATATGACATCAAGCAGGTAAGCAACCTATTTGTGTAGTCTCTTTAGTGAAGTCTCTTTAATCAACAATTTACTGTATTTTATTGTTCTTTATCCTCTTAGTATAATTCAATACAAATTTGGTTTATTTTTCATCCCAACACTGTAGTCCAAAATGACTGCAATAAGTGCATATACAGAGCTGGAGCCTTAGTGATTACAAATCGTCACAGTTCCTTTGTAATGTTATTGCACCTCTTACACCAGTTGCATAGTTGGTCCATAATTTGTAGTATTTAAAGAAACAATGAATGCAGGCTTAATGATCTAAAACACAGTTATTTAATTCTCCCTGCAATCCAAAATGGATGCCCTTTGTCCATTCTATTGGATCAAAATCTATACCCAGAACATAGAAGTTTATGGAATTGACTTCAGTAAAGCCAAAAATTGGTCCACTGAAAATTCTTAGACTTTCCCAAATATATTAATTGTTCCACTAGACATTTAGCTTCTAGAGATGGTGCAATACTGCTCTTTTTCCAACAAATTCTCAATCATTTAGGCTATTACCTGCTTTTCTAAAAGTGTATATTCTGTGGCACAGGCAAATTAAAAAGGTGGTACGTGTATAGAATCCAGGAGTTTTCATAAAACATGTATTCTTGAAAATCGGTGAATTGCTGGTGTGTTAAGTTGGTAGTCAAACTATTCAATATCCTGTATTTTTAAGTTTTGGAAGAATACAGTTTACAAATATTGCCTAGTTTAGCTTCATTTCAGAAATCATTCAGAGAGGCGAATACTGTTGTGTTTTGGTTGTTTTTTTGCGGGGGGCATCAGGGAGGTTATTACTTATTTTGGGTTGATGTACAGTAGTTTACCTCATGCCTCATGTTGATAACAGATTATGTGCTATCTGTGTTTAATGTGTAGATTTCCTGAGATAAAATATTCATTTCCAGGTTAGAATGGGATCCTGGCAGGTCCCTTATGCTGTCCTTTATTGATCTCTAAATCTGTAATCCTAATGATTGTCTGCAACCAAGAAAATGTGCTGGAAGGTAATAAAACTTACTACAGTGGTGTGAAAAAGACAAAAGTATTATTTTTTTAAAGACTGTTTTATTCAGACCTTGATAAATAGCTCATGGAAGGCATTGGGAGTATTTCTATTGGTTTCAGTGGATCTGGATATAGCCTTTTTTATATCTTCTTTTTCTATTTTCACAAGGTAAAAAGGAAGTAGTTATTGCTGGATACAATAGGTAATATATTATAGTTAGTAGTGAAGCAAGTTATACTCCAGATAAAAATATTCAAGTGTGATTCCTGATAGAAACTTCTTAATTTTTTTTCATGTTTTTCTTCTCAACTTTTCCTTGTTGTGTACAGACAGTTGTGCAATCTGACAAAAAATGTGTAATGACTTTGTCACGGGGTGGGGCACAGGAGCGGCCGTGATCTCCCCTGGCGCCCCTACCATGCCAAGTTGGGTCTCGAATGCACCCTCTTTCTCGCCCGCCATGTCTTGGTTTTATATATAGTTTTGTATGGGAGGCTGTCTTCCGTCCCCTTGGGCACGGCGCTCTCGTACTGGCCCTACTCTGAACTGGTGCACCCTGCCTTATGGGCTACGTGTGCCTCCAACCTCCCCTTTAGCATGCCCCAAGCCTCGCAGATGTGCCGGACATTCTCATGTCTGTATGCTCGCCCCTTCCTGGGGTCTCTTAATACGCACACCGCTTCTCTCTCTGGGGTCCCCCTGTATGCGCGCCCAATCTGTCCGGCCCCTCTCTGGGGCCTTCCTGCAATACTTGCCCCTCCCGGGCTTCTGTTCACCCTCTCGCCCTTCTCCGGGCTTCTCAACCACACACTCTGTCCTCTTCAGGCTCCTCACCGCGCACTCGGTCCTTCTCCGGACTTTTCACTGCGCGCTTGGCCCTACTCTGGACTCTAATCGTGCGCCTCACCCTTCTCCGGGCTCCTAGTTCTATCTGCACTCCTCTCTGGGCCTGTTCCGCGCTTCTCGCGCTCGTCGCCCTCTCTGGGCCTGTCCCGCGCTTCTTGCACTCGGGGCTCAGGTGGCCCGCAGCCGTACCTGGCCCCCTGACCGTTCTCGGGGTCCTACACCCTACTGGGCCTGTCCCGCGCTTCTTGCGCTCGTCGTCCTCTCTGAGCCTGTCCCGTGCTTCTCGCGCTCGGGGTTCAGGTGGCTCACCGCCGTGCCTGGCCCCCTGACCCTTCTCGGGGTCCTATGC